ATTTTTGTAGTTGCTGTTTCTGTCCAAATAAAGAAATGGCCGCTTGAATGGGGTCTGACTAAATCAATTCAGTATTCCAGTGGCTTGGTTTTCAATAAGTTTTTGTTTATGTTCTCTCAATGTATCAACAAGGGTTTCGTTTCCATATCATGTCAGTGCACAGGTTTTAGTTGTTCATTCTAATTCCATTCGGATTGATCTTTCATCTTAAATATGATTAGGCCACTCCCTTTCCTACCCCAATTAATGTTGACAGCTACGCGCCGATTGAGATACTAGAGATCGAAATCACCATGGTATAGGGAAAGGCAAGGAATGCATGGCGAAAAGAACGTGTTATTTGCAAAAGCATTTATTGAAGTATCCGTAATATGACCCGCGCTGAAGATTTTAGGGGAAAAACGTATATTTTCAAAGTTAAATTGAACCGTTATTAAATGACATGCAGATGTGTGCCATTACCTGCCTGATGAAAAGACTCAGTTTTAGAATTTGATTTCTTTCAACCTGTGAAGAAAGTAAAACAAACAACCCAGAGAGCTGTCTTCCTACCCAATATGATTGTACTGTCTAGCTTAAATAACTCTGATTATGCAAAGCCGGCCCACTGGTAAACACGAAGGACAGTGGGAATGAAAGGTCCAGAGAGTTTTCATGCGCTTAGGAAGCATTCACCGCTACTCCTGTTTCCGCGACACATCTTAGTGTCATTGTCGTTTACTTCAGCCAGAGAGTTCCTGAAACCGTGCGATTTCTCGACAGGATAAGATTATCATGATACATACCACATCTATGATTTGATTCAAAGTTATTCCAAACTGCACTGTAACATTGTCCTTGATCGAAAGGACAGGACGACGAGATTTGCTGTGACTCAAAAGGAATTCTACCAGTCTTTCGTCGTAATCTCCATCTGCGGAGAGAATTTTTTATATTTGTATCGTTGAAAGGAAATATTGTTTTTGCCATAAACATAAATGTTGACCTCTTGTCCTTTAATAAATAGTAGAATCCGTCAGGAATTCACATCACTGACCTAGAGAGAAGACATATAGTAGTTACTCATTAACTCTGTCTTGATCATGTGCACTTGTTCCTTTTGACCCGAGGACTTGTCTTTGTCGCCTTTCCTTAAGATTTTACTTAAGAAATGTGTCGTTACGAGCCTTCAACAAGGATTTGATTTTTTTTGACGTGAACTGAAAAAATACTTAAGTTAAACTAAGGCAGCTGCACCCGGCAATTTGCCTCTTTTTGTGGCTTGCAGGGTACCCGCGTTGCCCAGTCATATTACACAATTTATGATGATATGTCGCATTTCTATAATGAGTGATTGTCTCTTGAGGTCGTAATTGAGTGAAACATATTTTCTACCTTGAAAGTTTTCACCAATGCCTGACTTAACACAATAACACACTACCAAAACAAAGATGGTCGGTCGCATGTAGTACATCTCTGCAAAAGTGTCACTGGGCTCACTACAACCTTGCAGCTCGATCTGAGAAAAGAAAAGAAAACAAATAACCACGAGCTTTTGTTGCTCCTTATCCCTTTAACTCCCAGATCAAATTTTTAATTCTCCTTACTGTCAACCATGCAATTCTTATAATGCTAGTTCAGAGAGTTTAGTATTGGATTAAATATTTATCCCCATATTGTTAATTATAACATAGCTAGTAAATTTGTCTAATCAAATTCAATTGCGCGAGCGTGCTTCATATTCCTGTTGTGCACGCTCATGACGTCTGCAAACAAATCCCTCGAGAAAAAAATTTCCATCGGGTTGAAAATGTTATAAAACGATTGGTTCATACGTCAGCTGTGCGTTCATCGAGATATGAAGCACTTGGGAAGTTTGGAGAGCACTCAAGAAGCTAGAGTTGCTCGAGGCTACGCCTCGAGCAACTCTTACGCATCTTTCGTGCTCTCCAAACTTCCCGCCTGCTTCATATCTCGATGAACGCACGCTGACGTATGAACCAATTGTTAATTTTACTTTAGTCGCATCACTTATCTGATTGATGTTGTATTGATGCCGTAAGCAGAAATTCTGTCTTGGTCACTCACGGGAGTTTGCGGGTTAAACCCATTTTTGGCTTCAGTTAGACGTTTCCATTGCAGCACATGTCATCAGATTGGCAAACTCCCCTTTGACCGATGAGTATAATGAGGTGCTGAATCGAGCGATAACTAAGTTGGGCTTTTTTATAATAGTATCGTCCATTCCGAACAATATTAAAAGATAACGTGTGATCAGGGAAATAAAGAGGTTCTTCTGTAGAGCGGCTCTGGGAGGAAGTTGAATAATTTGAACTGCTCGAAATTGAATGTCAAGTTTATTACTTTACAAAAATTTCTTGGGGCAGTAATACCAGACTGTGAAAGAGTCATTGATGGCTGTACAGCGACAATGACATCATGAGAATAGATGTATGAATGACTTCAACTCTTTAGTTCAAGGAACCTAGGGACAACATTTTTCAGATCTTTCTTAAGAGCCCATCAGCTGCTTCCTACCTCTTTCCTTTGCCCAAAGAGTCCTTGAAAACGTTTTTATATTTCGGATTGTTAATTATCGTTTAAGTTTGCCGTGAAGTTATTTCAATATTGATTTTTAAAGAGAAGCTTAGAGTGACTTAAACAGCAAAAAGCAATAAATAACTCCTATCAAACCCTCTTTTTCTTGTTATTTCCAATCTTAAAACACTACTCTTCAATGTAATTAGTTAAAAAAGACCAGTGTGAAAATTTAAAGCTGTACTTTCGTGCATAACCTCTCGATTATCAAGGTCAGTAATTCATTTCATCCGACTTTTAGTTAATCCGTGTAAAATGACAGACCTTCATTAAAAGTTTCCGCTCTTAATTAAAAGAGAATTATATTCTGTACAACACAACTGTTGTGTCGCGTTTGCTGCCGATTGCTAACTCCACCTTCATAGGTAATAATTCATTGCCAAAGAAACTCTACTTTTGCCGTATCTTTAAAAAAGAAGGGATAGTAATCAATTAAGACCCTTGCGATTTCAACGCATTTTATCTATAAGATCGGTATTCCGAAATTCTCCAGATACTGTTTGCATAATTTTCTAATTTAAAGAAATGACTATTTCCCTAAGTTTGATTATGAAATATGGAGCGATTTTCGTTTGATTTGAGAGTTAAAATGGAGGATGGATGAGCTTACAGATGGAATTGTACTGGATTTGTTCACTGATGAACACGGTAATTTTGAAATGCACCTCTCTTAAAATAATTATATTGACTTAAGAAATAAAGTGAACTATGTTATTGTACTCTGCATGTTCTCCTAGGATGAAGAAAAGTGAGAAGAGTCCGAGAAAGATGTTTCAGTCTCTAATACCTTCTGAAGTCTGCCACCATAATATTAATTTTTATTTTAAGGAGTCAAATAATTCATAACATAAACACTACGTTCCAAGTTATCTCCACTTCGCTCCATAACTTAAATAGACCTCTTCACGCCAAGCTACTTCCTAGCGCTTCATATATGCCGCCATGTTTTTACCGCTATTATATCTGCGCCGTTTTCAGATGAAACTTCGCCGTAAATTAATTCCAAAAACTGCGCATGAAATACATCGCAATCGGCCGACACAAAAACATTTACACACACTTAAAACAGGTACCTACCGAACCAGGTTTACGTTGGTTGTCTTGACGTTTTAAATCACAGTTCGCTTAAGCAGCGTTTTGGATCGCGTGATCTTCTTAATTTTCCACTGGCCAACACAGTTACCTTTGAACAATTTGGCTGCTAAAACGCACCAAAATCCAGGTCTTATTAACAAAATCCATAAGAGGTATAATAAGGTTAAAGGTGGATTACACTTCAAAGAAATTCCTGACCTGCTGTGAGAAAATTTATTTGACAATCACTTGTCACGGGAAATGTCGTGTTCATCTGCTAATAGAACACGTGCACTTCATGTTCCTCACTTTTCTTTTCACATAAGGTCTCAGACCCATCCAGATAGATCAAGTCTTAGATTGCCCTCTGCTTAGTTTGATAGAAGTTTTCCATAGTTGTAACTTGTTCGTTTTGTTCTGACTGGGACAGCAGATAAACCCATAACAAATCTCACGTGATCGAGGAAGTTGCTTCAAACTAGGCTGTCTAGAATATACGCAAACGCTCAGATTCAATTAAAAAAAAAAAAAACAAACCAAAACAAAACGAAACAAAACAAACCAAAACTTAAAACACTACTCTATCACCATTTGTTTTCACGTAAGTAAACATTTCGAACACTAGCAAAATTTGTTTCTAGTTAAAACAAGTCTAAACACTTTGCCGTAATGTTTGTTGAGTACTGTCACGAGCTTGAGGTGCCATGGCAGTTTCGGATTTATTTGCTTTGCTTACAGCTGAAACAAAAGAACAATTAGAATATGGATAAATGAAAATTTCCCTAATGACATTCACATAATACCGCTTCTTGAGATGTTGAAAACACACAAATGAAATAAATCATCAAGATTTAAAAGTATAAATAACTAGACCGCCTTTTTCCTATTTATCACATTTAAATAAAATCAAAAGTAAAAAGTATAAACGTTTTTCTACACCATACTTTGAAAATTCTTAATTCTAATTCTCTGAACCGTATAATTAGCAAGCAAAGGAATTCTACTAACTTGCTTTCTTATCAGGGAATCAGAGATCAGCACAGCGCGAGCTAACAGATGTATAAACAAATAAAGTGAATATACGGCGCCATGAAGGCTGCGAGTGTTCTGCTTAGCTTGCCCACATTAGTCTCCGATCAGAGAAGCGTTTTAAATTCACACGGCGTTAAGGCAGCAAAGCAAGGTGACGATATCTTTTCAACAAAGACATTTGTGACCAGATTCAACCGTCACCAAATCACGATACTTTCTACTGGGAAGGAAAAACACGCAGAAAATTAGGCTTGCTCGTGGTGGCATGCATATATATATATATATATATATATATATATATATTTGTAGATATATATATATGGTTTCATTTTGTTATCACCTTTGGATTAAGTTAACAACGAACTTAGACCTTTCAGAAGTGAGGATTTTTGATCACTTGGATATCTACTTTCTAAGTTAACCAAATCGAGTCTTAGGGATGAGAAAGTGCTTCAGAAATTAGTAAACAATTCATCCTGTTTTGAAGTTCCTTTTCCATATCAAGACTATGGGTATGTAATACGAAAGCTATGTTATCAGTGACTTGACATCAAATTTATCCCTTTGCTTATAGAGATTACTTTTGCTCACAATTTTTTGTTACGATCTGACCCACAAACCGCAAAGAGGAAGAGGAAAAAGCGAACGATGAACGCTTTCTGTTTATACAAAATTACGTCTTAGTGCGTCGGAAATGGAGTCACGAAGTTGATGTTTGGAATTCCAAATGCAATTTCTCAACCTTAAAGACTAAAGGAGACAGCTGATATCGCCGAAAATGTTTTGCAACCTTCTAGGATGTAGCGCCAAGAACCGCATTTTAAGAGGTTGTAGGTGGTATCTAGGGAGAGAGGTGCGAAGTCATACAAAAGCCAGGTGGTCAGTAAAATCTTATTTCGCTCGTTTTGGGTGGGAACCAATCCATCGAGCCCACATACTCAATTTTTGTTTTATTCAAGTTACATCTATCAGCCAACTGGAAAATTACAATAGAACCATTTACTTGAGAACGTTACCTATAGTTTCCTTCTTTATAATTTGTTGTAAAATGAAGATCGTACCCAAGATAAGTTTTCTAACTTTAGAATAAGAATATCGTGACTAATCTTGCTTAAAAATGTGTTTTACTCAAAAATTGAACAAAAAAACGACTTCAACTAGCACCCTCGAGGCCATAATGTGTAATGATGGATCTACGTTTACATTAACAACAGTTTAACGGGGTGGACGCAAATTCTCTGATATCCAACCATGTATGTTTTGGTCAAAATTAACTCCCTCAGAGTTCAGAAGTCAATGCTAACGATCACCGGGCACGAATAAAAAATCGCCGTGAAAGAGAAATCCGAAAAAAAAGGAGTAAAAATATAAAACACAAGTAATATTACGAAAAAAGCAAAAAAAAAAAAAAAAAAAGGAACGGAAAAAACAAAAAGCAAACAAACAGGTTGGTTTTCGTCCAAAAACGTTTTAGATGTGCAGTGGGCTTGAACGTTGCCTAAATAATGTCAATGTTCTTAAAATGTGATTTTAACTCAATAATGATATTAAAGAAAATCAATACTTATACAGAAAAATATATTTTGAAAAGCCCAAGAGGGGAATGAAAGGTTTAATTTAATTTTTGATCCCTCCGATTCAACCAACTAACAAAGTATTAAGATCGAGATGAAACGTCAAATATTACAACGAAATCCGAAATGGACATATAAAGCAGGAAATAAAGACCCAATTATAGTGCAAGCTATTATTTACAGCGTCAAATATCTATACTGGAACAAATTTCAATGATCGATACAAAATTCAATTTTTTTCAAAGGGCTACTCTATGGAACTTGATCGACATTGTTGTTTCAGAAAAACGCATAGGGAGAATTTTCGTCGGTTTTAAAAGCATGATTGAGTCAGTCTTAACCCCGCCTTTTATCAGTATGTCATTTTGACGTAACACCAAATTCTAATATCAAGCTTGCATAGTTAGAATGTAGAATTACTAATCTAAAGAATGCGAAGGTTCAGCAAAGAGTTGTTAAGGACAAATTATCTTTAATTTTCAAAGCTTGTGTACTTTCCTTTCTCGACAACCCTGTATAGCCTATGGCCGAGCCGATAACTAAAAGAGGTCAAATTTTGTCAACTTCGATCAGCGCGCGTGAAACAGTCTCACGCGTCCATGCAAAGCAGTCAAGAATATCAATTTCGTGCGTTAATCATATTTTGGAATTTGAAAAAACAAGGCAATAAGCGAAGCTATCAAAGTGAGCGTAAAAATCCACATGCAAGTGGTGTCCACGATTGACGCAGCCATCATCCACTCCTCGCGTTGCTTCCCTTCTTCGTCCTGCGCTTCTTGAGCCTCCACCAGTTTTTCTAAAGCATTTGCAATGGCTCCCTGCTTGTGCGTAATGGCTTTTGTCAGAGAGGTTTGGTCATCATATCGCGTCTCTTCTGTGACGTCGTTCCCAACATAGGATCTTCTATGTTCTCTGTCGTCTGAAGACGTTTTTCCTTCAGTGGCCCACTTTCCACTCGCTAATCCAGAGAGTCTCCTCTCGAGCAAACCAAATCTTTGATTCAGGGCTTCGTTTCGAGGTGAAAACGCCTCGATGTATCCATTGTCTGACCTCACAAGTTTACGTTTTTCGAATGGGGCTCCTGTTTCTAATGGGTTTTCCGAGTTGTCATCACGAAGTTTCTTGTGAAAAAGCTTTCCCAAGCAGTGGAGGACCACAAAGCGAAGCCAATTTGGCATCTTGTGAATAGAGGGATTTGAAAAATGATACTTGAGAACCACACATGTCCCAATAAGAGCGATTCCAACCTGAAAAAATTTTAAGGAAGACTGATCATCGTTTCAATAACTAGAATCATTAGCGGTCAAGTGATTTGATGTCAACATTTCTTCCATAATTCTACTTTTACCGACTTAGCGAGGAAAGGTAACTTGAATGTAACATGGCTTCATATTTTCCGCTTTACAAGAGTTTGCCATAATAACTCCCAACTTAGATATAGTTTTCAGAGTATCTAAGCCAACGGAAACGTAGACTTATTATCTATTTTTGCACATTTTTCGCGTTGTCGGTTAACGAAAATGTACAAACTTCAAATTTAATCCTTCGCACTGAAATCTACCAAATATGACCCTCTGTAAAGTTGTGCCATAATGTCCGTTAACGGTGGCACTCGTTCCACATCTTACACCAATGATTGTTACCTACTAAGTACTAAAAGTTACTTCGGTCGTGATGGAAACATACCTCGAAAATACAGCAGGAATAAAAGGTGGATATGATAGATACGGCATCTGATGTCGGAGGAATGATTTCAGCCACCAACAACATGAACACTGTCATGGCAAGGAGATTAGTGATGACCAATGAGATGCGTTCACCAGAATCAGGTGGAAGGTAAAAGGACAAGATTGTGAGACCTGTGGAGAGAAATAACATTCAGTCCGCATCACAGTGTTGTTGTAGATGATGATCAAGCTGCAGTGGTAGTTAGGACGGAGAGCATCTTGCTATGTGTAGATTAAACACCTATTTCGTAAACTTTGCCCCGTTTACTAGGGATACAATTCTAATGAACTAGACTCAATCAAACTGTTTTATTCCACTCTCGTATTCGTTTACTGACAACGGGTTTGTAGAAAGCTACTCTGCAAAATTTGTAAGAAATCACTCTCTTATACGATATTCTCTACATTGTAATTGGTTGTAGATAAGTACTGATTTAAAAGGTCATTCAAGGTTGCGTTGATTATGTAAACCGATCAATGTCCCAAAATCACTACAGGCGGTGCTTCTACCTCTTGACATAATGTTCACACTCATCATCTGACATGTGTCACGCAAGAACGACGAAGTCTCCGACACCTATATCCTATTTTATGAGCGTATTGAACATTTGATCTCTTTAATGAATGCATAGCTTACGCCCCAGTACCAGTACTCACTTACCTACAATAACAAGGCAAGGGATGATCATGTTGAAAAAAAAGAACAAAGTTCTTCTCCGAATCTGCACTTCGTAAGTGACGTCTGGGTATGGCTCTGGACAACAAACGTATTTTACGATATTTCTTTTGCAGGGAACAGCAACTAGATCCCACTCTCCATTGCTCACAAACTTATCAGAAACACCTTCATCTGCTTCAGGCCTTAAATCTAGTTGAAAGCCATCGTAAGTCCATGATCCGAACTTCAACTTACAGTGCTGTTCGTCGAAAGGGAAGTACTTAACGTAGATCTTGCAGGAGCTTATAAGGATTACTGGAGACAACCAAAGATTGGTGCCATCACTAGAAACCTTAATCTGTGATTTAAATCTCGCCAGGGACCCGTCTGTGCTGTCATCGACACTGTTGGGGAAAAAGGAAATAAAGTTGTGAGTACACTCAGAAAATAGTTACACAAAATTTTTGATTGCATTAATGTAATTTGACAGCTGAAATATTTATCATTCTAATAATCAAACACAGACTTACGTCCATCTCTTCAAACCCTTAACAATCATCCAATTTTTATGCCTGTTTGTAACGAAACTACTTACTTATTGTAAAGGACTAAGTCGGGTTTCCAAACTTCTGTTGGGTTAACATTAATAGTCGTAATTCCTCCGTAGTGTGTTGCATTCCACCGGAGGAAAGGATTCACCCATTTCTAAAGAAAATAACGAAAACTGATTCAGTAAAAAAAAACTGTACACACTTCACGTGCTTACACTCGTACACTCTCCCCACCCTGGAGTATGGACTGGGTACCAATAAAAAAGTTTGTGAAACATGATAAATTATTGGGGGGGGGGGGGG